CACTTCTTCAGATGCAAGATTCACTTGCATCTGAAGAAGTGAGGTTCTTACCCACGAAAGCTTATGCTCCCAATACTTCTGTTAGTCTTAAAGGTGCCACAGGACCCTCTGTTGCTTTTTACAGATTCAGACTAACACGGCTACCCCTCTGGTAGCTGGCAAGAATGATCCAATTAAATAAAATCGAAATATTATAACATGTAGAAACTGTTAAGGTATGCTGATAAGGATACTAATTCTCTTACATTCTATATATTTTTTCTAAAAGAACCCCAAAATCTAGATGGTTAGAAATTAACATTAGACCTTGCCTGCTCCACAACCAATAGAAGTTGGTGAGGAGCTGTGGAAATAGGGAGTATTTAGCAAAGCTCTGGGTGATGAATAAAATAATTTATTTTAAGAAGTATCTGGCCCTCACTTCACAACCCTAAAATCAATGACAAAATTCCTACTAACTTCAATATGAGCAGGACTAGGTCTCTTTCTAATTTTAAAACATGGTGTAAATGTAAAAGTAACATTTCCCAGTAGATTTAAAAAGAAATGTTACTTACCTTACAGTAACTGGAGTTCTTTGAGTTGTGTGGTCTGTATCTACCTCATGACAGAGCCAGTGGTGCTGATTAAGGTCAGGTGGTGAATACTGGCATCACCAAATCCCTTTTTTTGATGAGGGAGGGTGCTGTTGGTGTGGGCAGCATCGTTCCCTTTTTTTGCTTACTGGTACTGGAGGTGGTCCCACCCCTTCAGGGGTCAGCGGTTTCAAAGTACTCTTGGCTCTCCATACCACAAGCCAGACCTGTGCTCCCCTTGAGATCCTGACACAACTGTAACAGGATGCAGAGTCTGACCAGATTGGGAGGGTGCAGAGGAAGAAGTCCTCTTAGATGAGGACTAGGGAGGGGATTTCTCCTTTTTATGAGAGTGCTCTTAATCTCCTCCCATCTACTGTGCCTGTTAAGGTCCTTAGCTCTGTCCTCTCATGATCCAGAACAGGGGAGTACTGTACTCAGAGGGGCACTTCTCAGCATCTACAACCAATGAACAGGGAGTCTGATGACTTGGGATTGGCCTGGGGCCTCATTGAGCAATCCAGCAGGGATTTTCTGAGCTGGAACTTTCAAGATTGCCAGGTTCAGAGGGGAAAGGAATGCCAAATATTGCAACTTGGAGGGGATGTTGATCTCCCCAGGCAATAGAAACAAGTGTCATGGAAGTCACTAACTGGGAAGAGCTGGGGACAGGCCACATAGCTCTTGAAGCCAGGGATCTTAAACATACCAAATACTCCAAATGGTGGGAATATTGGGGTGGAGGAATGCCCCCAAAACCTCTACTAACACTAGCTAACTAAATACTACCACTAACTAACTAGATAAAGGTAAAAAATTTCAAAATTTTCTGTAAAAAGTTAAGCAGGAATGATAGTAAATATGTGGACAGTGGAGGGGTTCCGTGGACTATGGAGGGTAAAAAGCAACTGAAGAGGCAGGAAATCCGCACCACCCTCTATGCCCTCGGTTTGGAACACAAGGAGACACAGGCACAGACCTATGGACACTGCTAATAAGTCTTCTGGTCTCAGGTCCATGGAGCTCTTGTGCATCTTGAGTGAGGGACCACCACTTAAAAAAAAAATTGTGCCTAAGGCCTCCACAGTGTTTACAGTAGATAATTCCTATGTGATACTTAAAAAAACAAAATCAACCACAAAAAACAAACAAACAAAAAAAGCCCCCCAAACAAAACAAAACAAAAAAACCCACGACAACACCCTTGCTCCACACTACTATACCTGTCTGTTAATACAATTGGCTTGTCCAGTTTCTCTACAGGAAGTTTGTGTTGCTCCAGTAGTTTTTTATAAAGTAGGGCTTCTTCCACTCTATACGGATTTAGCAACATGATTTTTTTTCCAGAAGCAATTATCCATGCATCAGGAAAACTCAGGTGACAGATCAGGCAAGACTCGTTTTTATCAAAATTTGTCTTCTCAAGCCTCTGAAGTTTACGTTTGAAAGAACTCATAGAAAAAGGCACCTGTACAATTTTCAGAGCTTGGTTATGTCTCTGTTTCTTTTCAATTTGAGACTGAAAAAGTTTGTCAAGTTTCTGCTGGTCAGAGAGAGAAGTCTTCAGTTTGGGCTTGTATCTTTTTTCTGTCTCTTTTGTTGAGCTCTGTATTCTCTGCTCCACAGCTTTCTTGGTTTGTCTGTTGTATCGTTCCAGGTCTTTTGTGGCTTTTTCTTCATACCTAAATGGAGAGTGGGGCAGGGTGTGGAAGAGAAATCACAAATGTAACAAACTAAAGGCCAGATTCTGACACCCATTCTCATACAGTCATGCACCTCCACTCCCTTTCATAGCCACATTAGCTTTCTCTGCATCCTGACCCAGGTACTCAGCACCCCGGTACCCTACCCCATTGACCAAGTGGGTGAGAAGTGTCTGAACAGTGGACGGAGCCTTGCCTCTACCCCAGTGTGACAGCCAGAAGAGCTGAGCTGTTACTTCTGCTTTACAACTAAAGGCTCAATCTAACCTTAAATTTATAACCAGAAATACTGTTTCAGAAGTACATGTTCAACTTATAGGCACTTAATTTGTAAAAAACTGACACTGATACCTACATTCATAATTTTTGGGGACTATTGATAATAGCCATATCAATCAACTTATCAGAGAAGCGCAGGCATTTGGTAGCAAACTGCTATGGAATACTGCTTACCCAGCCCCAGGGCTAAATTATAAGAGCCCCAGGAAAAGACTTTCTTCAAGCAGGATTTCAGTAAGAGCCTAGTCTACAAAGATCAGTTTGAATAACTGAATAACTTTATAAAGAAATAAAATTACAGTGATGTAGTTTAAACACATTTAAACTATACAAATATAAAATAATGCTACGGATCAGACCATCTCTAGAAAGACTTTAGTTTGAGGAGAATTTGAAAAGACTGAGATTGCCAGGTATTCTAAACTAAACAAAGACATAAATTATGACTGGTACAGAGAAGGTAAATGAGGATCTCCTATTTACTCCCTTTTATAATATAAAAGCAAAGGGATACTCAATGAAAATGAGAGCAAAAATTTAAAAATGGTAGACTTTTTGTTACCCAATGTATATATTATCCATCCTGTGGAATTCACTGTCACAACATATCACTGAGTCCAAGTGCATAGCAGGATTTAAAAAACGATGATTCATTTATATGAATAATAAGATGATCCACAGCCACATTAGATAGGATAAAAATAATACAGGATATAAATTATCTTGCTTAAGCCAACCACTAACTGACTGGGGTTAAGGAAGAAACTTTCCTATAAGCAGGCTATTCTTTAATTGTCCACTCTGGGATTTCTTATACCTTCCCTCGATGCATCTAGTTCTAACCACTGAAAGAAACAAGATACAGAACTACACTGGCTACTAGTCATTGTTATAGCAATTCCTGTGTTCCTCTGTGGCTGTACATACTGGGTAACACTCAGACCCTTCAAGTGAGGACCTCTTTTATATCAGTGCTTAAGTATAAAGGGGATTGAGATCATGTGACTAGCTATGCAAGCCTTGCATTGGCTGTTGGTGAGTATTTAAGCGAGTAATCGTATTGACCTCATGGGAGTAAGCAAGAGCTAGTGCTGAACAACAGGGATGGGTATTGCACAGTCAGGCTCTATGACACTTAAAAATTGCTATACGCTTTTTTGTGGACACGACTAAGATAATAACCTTAACATTATTTTAGGTTATATAAAGGCAGGGACTTTACAATACAGATCTATAGGGCTGGTTGCCTCCCAGATACAAATCTTAATGTTTGAAGACCTTAGCAGAATTTAGAATTTGCTCAATTCTCCTTTCCTACCCCCATTCAAGCTCCTGGATTCTGTCTAGTAATACAACTGATTTCCAGTAAGAAGCAGTATTATCCTATATCAGTATTGGAAATAAGTATTTTAACTGGTCTTATGTTAATTTATTCACTGATACTTGCTGGAACAGTCAGATTCAATTATCTGCATGTAAGGTGGAAAATAAGGTCAACAGAAGGATCACCATTTGTAATTATAATGTGCTAACATTCACATATGGTACTAATATTTAGTTTACTAAAGCAGTCATCTTGGGATGAGCAATAAATCATGTCCAAGAAAAACATGGAGTAAATGTTAAGATAAAAAACATCTGCTACTTGTAAAATTAATGGGTGAAACAGAAAAACTTTATCCTGATTATTGGGTTATAACTTTGACCTGATCCATACTCTTTCTGCTTTCAATGCCAGTTTGTTACAAAGGTGAACATTTAATTATGTGGCTATTGGGTTTACAATGACATATTAAAACTTTAAAAACGCACACATTTAAGAAACACTTGTTGTTACAGGTTTAATTCAGGAGAAACTCCAGCCCTGCAAGTGTTGAGTTTGGGGGCTTTGTAAGTATCTGACAGTGTCCAGTCTACATTCAGAAAGTAAACAGCAGGGTCACTAACAATGAAAGCTATCCATTTCCCTTTTCAAGAAAGATCTTTCTGCATAGGCAAGTGTGATCCAGAGGGGCCAGGAGAAATACAGGTAGTTGCCTCCTGGCTAGTTAGAGGTGACTTAGGAAGATTAGAGATGATGCTGGAATTCTCAATTCAAAAGCAATGAATTTTTTAAGGAAAATATCAGGCTAGTTCCAAAAGGAGCTTTGCTCAAGGAGGAAAAATAAGGCTTCCTCCCATGTGACTTACCCTACATTTTACTATTTCTCACTTGTACCTTAAGCCCAGATGGAAAGATTTAGCAAGCAGTGAGAAATCCACGAGACTGTTAGAGAGGAAGCAAGTAGGATCATTTGAATAGGGCAAAATTTGACCCGAAAGAGCCCCAAATACCCCAAAATAAAATAAAGAGGACATCCTTTGGCAAGTCAGTTCATCCAGATAATGCAAGTCAATTATTTCAAACTCTACTGTATTTGATAAGTATCACATTCTAGGGCTGCTTTTGAGAAAATATACCTCTTCTATGACAATAGCTTTTGTCTCTTGACTTTTACTGGCAGCTTTTAAAAGTGTATGGACTGTTGATGACAATCTGTATTTTCTTAGACTACCCTTTTAAATACACAATCCCCTTGTTACTATAGGTCAGTGGTTCTCAACTAGGGGGCCGGGACCCCCTGGGGGCCCATGAGCAGGTTTCAGGGGGTCCGCCAAGCATGGCCAGCATTAAACTCACTAGGGCCTAGGGCAGAAAGCCGAAGCCCCGTTGTACAGGACTACAGCCCAGGCTGGAGCCAACACCTGGGGCTGAGGCCTGAGCAACTTAGCTTTGCGGTGCCCCCTGTGGTGCCCTGGGCATCTGCCCTGCTTGCTACCCCTTAACGTCAGCCCTGGCTTTTATATGGAGAAAAACAGTTGTGGCACAGGTGGGCTGTGGAGTTTTTATAGCATGTTAGGTGGGCCTCAGAAAGAAAAAGGTTGAGAACCCCTGCTATCGGTGAGCTAATTTATCCAGACTGTACCTGGTAGACCGAGTTAGTAGAGAACGACATTTTTTTTAAACATTGAACAAATCTTCAAGATTGCTATCTTTGAGAAGACAACTATAGATCTTTCTGCTTTGTTAGCTTCTCTCAGATCTTTGGTCTCTTGGATTGTTTCTTGCCTTAGCCAATACTTACACACTGAACCATAAGACTTAGCTGTTATATCCATCTGAAAGAGGGAAATCTGTAAAACCCCAGACAATAGTTTTGATGAAAATAAAGAAAACATTAGGGAGCTGATCTTTGTATCCAACTTGATAATAGTTAATATTTTGCAAATGGGAAAAATTAGTTTTTGTAATAAATGCTAGCTGGATATTCCTTATATTCTGGGAATTCCTCTCTATCTAATATATCTTTAGGATGGAATTATATTAAATGTTGCTTTGCTGGCAGATGACAAGTGTTACCGCTGGTGTTTATCACAGAATATTGTTCAAAGGTATTATTAATTTAATTAAATTATATGGAAATCAGCTTCAACAGATATTCTATGTATAGTGCATATTCACTTTCTATCCAAGAGCAATCCAATTTTTGTTTAAAAATAAATGCTAGTAGAACATTAAAACTGAGATTTTAATTGCAGAAAAATTAAGAAAAAAATAGAATTAGGGTTCCCATAACATGTCTGGCTTGGGTAACCTGCCAGGAGTTAAAACTCCTATTGGCATAGATCAGAGGGTTATTGGTGCACACAAGCTTTCCCAATGCGCCACGGTTCAGTTTGCAGGGAAGGCCATATAATGCAAGCAAGCAACATTTTTAAGGTCTTGAAATGTGTGAAAATATTGTAAAATCAGGTTAAAAAAAATTGGTGTCAATATGAATTACATATCTAGAGATAGGTCTTCATTTTAGGTAATATGGAGAGTCCAGTATTCAGGATTTAGTCACTCATCTGTAATTTCATTGGAGGTGACATTTATAGTGGAAAAAGAGCAAACTGGATATAAGGTTCAACAATTTTATGACCAAAAGTGACAGTTACAACTACACAAGTTGATAAGTGTAATTGAGCTGCATGCTTCATAGTACAAAATGATTACCTGTGAGGTCAAGAAGGAACTATTCTTCCCCTGCTCCCACTGAATATGGCAATGCACTCCATAACTGACTAGGTGCCTTATGGACTGTTTTCTTTCCTCAGCGTCTCAGACTCTGGCTACTACCAGAATCAGGATGTTAGAGATGATGGAAGAGTTTGGATTAGTATTGCAAATCCCATATTCCTAACAGTGTTTTAGCTTTTAAAAGCAGCTTCTCAGTGGCAAGCTTCATAAGTGACCATCACATCCCACACGGGAAAAATTCTCTCATTCTTTTTGCTCCTAGCAGCAGTTCAGAGCTTAGTTCTTCTCCCACTAAAGTCAATGGCAAAACTTCCACTAACTTCAGTGGGTAGAGAATCAGATGATTAAAGAAAAATATGAGCAAGTGACTGTTTTATGGATATGGTTAATTTAATTCTTCCCTACAAGCCACAGAGCACCTCTGTGGCTGGTGCTTAAGACAATCTACTTGTTTGGCTGCTGGGGAGTGCTGAGATCTCTGAATCAGTGGGGATTTGGGTAGCATGAAATACTTCTCAGAATTCATCATCTGATGCAGTTTTTTATACATAGTTATGGGGATTGGGAACTATTCTGGACTTAAGGGGCTTTGGTTTTTTTTTGTTTTTTTTTTTAATTGTATTTTAAAAAACAGAACAACCTGTTCAAATGCCTAGAGTCTGGGAAAAGTTATTTTTGTGTAGAGCAATGAAAAAAAAAATAGGACATGGAGGAGAGAAGGATTGGGGAACTACATGGTGGGGGATCCTCAGCTGCTAACCAACTCCTCCCACAACACACCCAGAATGACAGCCTTTTGGTAAGTCCCTGTAAAAGTGGGCTTCATGCAATTCAGGTGCTGTACACCTCCTGCCTGATTATCCTAAAAACTGGACTTACTCAGCCAGCAGAACTGTGACAGCTCAAGAGGGTGGGGGCAGCCCAGCAAATGCACAGATAAGGCCAGGATTTTGCCTCTAAAAATACATGAGAATGACAAGATAGTTATATTTTATTGAAAGTAATGGAGAGTAATTGTTAAAAAAAAATGCAGTGACATTCTGTGCGATCTTATACACCTGTGCAACCCCACTGACCACAAAAAGGCTGAATGGGATATAAGTTAGCACAGTGAATCGGCCGGCCCTTGGAAAAAAGTTGCCCAAAATGTGCCTTGGTATTTGGCAAAAGAAGGTTGGTGACAGTAACTGCTCTGAGATGTGTATAATGGCACAGAGAGAACACACAACATGTGCCAAGTGTTTAAAGAATAAATCAAAAATCTACCAAAGTAAGATGGCAATTATACAGGGTCATTGTCTCGGTCTACAAGAAAATATAATTTTAATAAGTTGCAAAAATTGATGTATTTTACGAAAGACAGCAACATATTTAAATTGAAAAACAGAGTGGAAAAATTAGTAATACAGAAAACAGTACATATCTGCACACAGTAAACATCATAATTAGCAATACAACCTTTAGCCAGGATGGTGTTCTTGGCAAGCCAAAAATCATTTTCCATCCTGTTTTTTATAAATGATGTGGATGTAATTTTTCATTTTTTGCACCCAATGAGTCACCCAGAATGGAAACTACATGGCTTAAAGGTCAGGTGCAAACTCTGGAAACTTACTTCATTTTCTCCTCTCTGCTCAGTTTCTCCCATAGTCCTTCAATTTTCAGCATCAAGTCCTCCATGTTGGCCTTTGGATTATCAGTTAATAATCTAGAACGATATTCTTGGGTGAACAGGGCAACTGCTGATATGGGTTTCCGGATTATTTGATTACTAATTAAATCATAGGCCATGATCTGTCCTGCTTTATCATTAACCACATTCGTTTTTTTAATATTTTGATTTGCACTCTGCTGATCATGATCTTGTTCATCAGTATTTTCATTTGCCTTATGATTTGTTTTTCCTCCTACTTCAGGTATCAAAATCTTTACAGGTTCCAGGTTCTCTCCTGTAGCATTTTTAAATGCATTCCCCTTGCTCCAATTATCAGCAGAGATTTCAGATACATACTCAGGGACTGTATTTGCCTCATTTTTTTCCACTTCATTAGTGTGACTGGCTCTCAAAGGATGCTCACTTCTGTTTTTAGATTGAGTGTCCATGTGAGTACTGCCATCTAGGGTTAATGTTACACTATATCCATTCTGGCTGTCCTCACATGATAAATTATTTATGGAACTGTCTTGAGATATATCACTCACAGTCACATCAGTGCCAGAAACTTCTTTTCTATTGAGGAGACCATGAGTATTATCACTAGAAAATCTTTGATGCTTTAAGCAGACCTCTGTGTTTTTTCCTGCTTGACCATTTTGCACATCATTACTGAATGAAACGGATGAAGTATGTGCATGTGGATCACTGTTTCCAAATGGTTCCGTTTTATTAACAAGCACATCTGTTTGTTCTGTTTCATTAACAACCATGTCCACTGAGGTAACATCTGTTTTATTAGTTTCAGAAGAAACTGTACCAGGTAGTAGCCCATACAGCGATGTCAATACATTTTCAACAGCAGATAAGACAGATTCCTGAAAAGAAAACTCATAAGCATTAGGACAAATTGTCAATGAAAATGTACTTGACAGCTGTTGACACAATACAATAGCAATAAAACACAATTCTATTCACTGTATTTTTTGAGTTAATTTAGATTGATTGTATTATGAAGCATTAGTAGTTCATACATTCGCATTAAAATATGCCAAACATTCACTAATCAGTGAGATCCTTTAGCCTTAAATCTTTCCCTATAAATACTTTTGCTCCACTGATAAATTTTAATACCACAAAACAGATGTACTGCTTTCTTTATGACCTAGTACTCGTATGTTGTTTCTTTAGAACAGTATTAGCGTATCTATTCTCACTCAGTATACACTAACTGGAGTTAGAAACACACTATCAGGGTGGAATGGACTAACAACCAAGTCAAGTTAGCATCACAATTTTAGTGAGAGTGTTCATTCATAGAATGGTTCAAAGACTGTTTTTATATGAAAGGTAGAAAATTTTAAAAACAAACAGAAAGAAAGAAAACTTCTTTAGAGTAAAAGGAGAGTTTTAAACAAACTTATGTGAAAATAATCTGCTTATGTTTATTTTCATACAAATTATATTGAAATATCATTTACTCTGTGATTCTAACCCACAAAACCAAGAAAATGCCTTGTTAAGAGAGGTGGTTACATATTAGTCTAGACTGTGCCACCCTTAGGGCTTGTCTCCCATAATCCACGCTATGGAGGTATGATTTCTAAAGCATACTAATGTGCTGTGTGTTAATTGGGCTGTTTCAAACAGCCCTACATTAAAGCATGCTAGGGAACCTTTAATGTGAATCTAGTACTACGCAACACAGAGCACTTTAGAAACCATACCCCTGTAGTGCATATTATCTCATTGTGTAGAGAAGCCCTTATCTACCTTGAGCAGTGTAAGCAAACCCACTGATTTCCATGGTACTACTCATGATCTAAGGTGCTATTCAGTGATAGGAAGCGTATCACAATCGGTCTCTATGCGATCTCTGATACAAGACACAATGGGCCAAGTTTCAATCTCAGTCATGAATATTACATCCTGTAGCCTCCATGATGTCAAAGGGCATGCCACACACACACAATGGCAAAATTTCACCCTAAACAGAAACAACTCAAGTTTTTAATATTAATGTTGTATTTAAATCCCCCACTTAATGTAAGTAACTATAAAATTATGAAAAGAATTGTGTAAAAAGGACATAAATCATATTTCTGTTTACAGATCAGTCATTATAAAGCCATCTGAAGATGAAAAGCGCTATTGTGATATAAGTACTATGCATGACTGATTTAAGCAGCTCTGTGAAGACAGAAATGAACTTATGACTTAAAATAATTGATGTTATAAAGTATATAGCAGCGGGAATATACTGCCAACACCTGATCAGGGTGGTGATGGTGATTGTGAAATGCTCAGGGAGATTAGAGAGATACAGAGGCCCAAAACACAATAATAATAGAGGATTACAAGTATTCTCATATTGACTGGGTATATGTCTCCTGAAGAAAGGATGCACAAACAAAATTTCTAGACACCATAAATGACTGCTTCTTGGAGCAGCTTGACCTGGAAACCACAAGAGGAGAGGAAATTCTTGATTTAGTCCTAAGGCCTAGTCCACACTAACCCCCCACTTCGGACTAAGGTACGCAAATTCAGCTACGTTAATAATGTAGCTGAATTCAAAGTACCTTAGTCCGAACTTACCGCGGGTCCAGACGCGGCAGGCAGGCTCCCCCGTTGATGCCGCATACTCCTCTCGCTGAGCTGGAGTACCGGCGTCGACGGCAAGCACTTCCGGGATCGATTTATCGCGTCTAGACAAGAAGCGATAAATCGATCCCAGAAGATCGATCGCTTACATCCGGACCAGGAAGTAAGTATAGACGTACCCTAAGTGGAACGCAGGATTTGGTCCAAGAAGTGAATATAACTGAATTCTTTCAGTAGTAACAACCATAATGTAATTAAACTGCATGAAGACTATTTAAAAACATCACAATAGAGGCTCAAAGTAAATGTATACTCAATATAAACAAACAAGAGGACAAAAAAAAAAAAAAGCTACCATGGCTAACTAGCAGAGTAAGAGATGTGGTTAGAGGTAAAAAAGCAACCTTTAAAAATGGAAGTCAAATCCTAGTGAGGAAAAATAGAAAGGAACAAATTCTGGCAAGTCAAGTGTAAAAATATAATAAGGCAGGACAAGAAAGAATTTGAAGAGCAACTAGCTAACCACACAAAAGATGACAGAAAAAAAAATTAAGTACATCAGAAGAAGGAAACCTATGAAACAGTCAGAGGGGGCCACTGGATGATCAAGATGCTATAAGGCAGAACTCAAGGAAGACAAGGCTGTTGCAGAGAAGCTAAATGAATTCTTTGCATCAGTCTTCACTGCAAAGGATATGGGGGAGATCCCCACACTCAAGTCATTCTTTTTAGGTGTCAAACCTGAGGAACTGTCCCAGACTGAGGTGTCAATAGAGAAGGTTTTGGAACAAACTGATAAGTTGAACAGTAATAAATCAACAGGACCAGATGCTATTCACCCAAGAGTTCTGCAGGAACTCATATATGAAATTGCAGAACTATTAAGTGTGGTATGTAACCTATCACTTAAATCAGCCTCTGTACCAGATGACTGAAGGATAGCTAATGTAATGCCTATTTTTAAAAACTCTCTAGAGGCAATCATGCAATTACAGGCCAATAGGCCTAACTTCAGTACAGTGAAAACTGGTTGAGACTATAGTAAAGAACAAAATTATCAGACCCATAGATGAACACGATATGTTGGGGAAGAGTAAACAAGGCTTTTGTAAAGGTATATCATTGCCTCACCAATCTATCAGAATTCTTTGAGGGAGTCAGCGTGCACGTAGACAAGAGTGATCCAGTCGATTCAGTGTAGTAGAATTTTCAGAAAGCCTTTGACAAGGTCACCCAACAAAGACTCTTACACAAACTAAGCAGTCACGGGATAAGAGGGAAGGTCCCCATGGTTAAAATATATGAAATGTCAGTAAACAGGGGTCAGAAAAAGGGGTAAACAGTGAGGTGGCAAAATTTGCAGATGATACAAAACTTCTCAAGATAGTTAAGTCCCAGGCAGACTACGAAGAGCTACAAAAGGTTCTCTCAAAACTGGGTGACTGGGCAACAAAATGGCAGATGAAATTTAATGTTGATAAACGCAAAGTAATGCACACTGGAAAACATAATCCCACCTATGCCTATAAAATGATGGGTTCTAAATTAGCTGTTATCACTCAAAAAAGAGATCTTGGAGTTACTGTGAATAGTTCTCTGAAAACATCTGCTCAATGTGCAGCAGCAGTCTAAAAAGCTAACAGAACATTAGGAGCCATTAGGAAAGGGATAGATAATAAAGCAGAAAATATCACAATGCCACTATATAAAGCCATGATACACCCACACATCCAATTTTGTGTGAAGTTCTGGTTGCCCCATCTCAAAAAAGGTGTGCTAGAATTGGAAAAGATACAGAGAAGGGCAACAAAAATGACTAGGGGTATGGAATAGCTTCCATATGGGAAGAGATTAAAAAAACTGGGACAGTTCAGGTTAGAAAAGGAGATGAAAATCATGAATAATATGAAGAAAACGAATAGGGAAGTATTATTTACCCCTTCACACAATGCAAGCATGAGGGGGGTCGCACAATGAAATTAATAGGCAACAGGTTTAAAAAACAAACATAAGGAAGTACTTCTTCACACAACACATAGTCAACCTGTGGAACTCTTTGCTAGGGGATGTTGTGAAGGCCAGTAGTATAACTAAGTTAAAAAAGAGTTAGATAAGTTCATGGAGGATAGATCCATCAATGGTTATCAGAAAAGATGGTGAGGGATAAAACCCCATGCTTTGGGTGTCCCTAAATCTCCACCTGCCAGAACCTGGGACAGAATGGCAGGAGACAGATCACGCTGTTCATTTCCTCTGAAGCATCTGGGCCTGGACACTGTCCGATGTAGGATACTGGGTTAGATGGATCATGATCTAACTCAGTATAGATGTTCTCAGGATATTGGGCTCTGAAGGGAGCATGGCTGAGACAGGGGCTAGTATGACAGTACACAAATGATCTTTAAAATCAAATAAATGGTTACTCATTTGATTCAATAATTTTCAAATAGTCATGTTACAAGGGCAGCCTATCATATATGAACTACTAAAGCCTCATTCCTGTAAAGACTAATGTATGTGCTTAATTTTAAGCACCTGATTACTCACACTGAAGCCAATGAGTTATGCATGAGCCTAAAATTAAACGTGGTAAGTCTGTGTAAGATCAGGGCCTAAGCAAGCAAATACCAATTTAAAAATAAATTAAAATATAAATTACCTTATTATGAAGTAAAACTTGAGTTTTATCAGGTGTTAAATTAACATCCACAGCGGAGCCAGGTACAGTAATATTAATAAAGAAAACAGGGTAAGAACGAGAAGAATCTTTATGTGACTTCAGATTATAGTACCGTCGAACCAGCTACAGATAAATGGAACAAAGGAAAGTCAGTAAAAGTAATAAAATAGACCCAAAAGGTACAGAAGCAAAATACTACACTATACAAACAGTTTTTAAATTGTATTTTGTCAAATTAAAGAAGATGCTAAAACAAAGAAGTTAAAAATGTCCTTTTGGGGAGATCTGTACACCAGGAAAATCCTCAGTAGGGCATTTGCATGTGGTTTCCACTGCCTTTGTGCCACATAAGTCCCAGAAAATCTGCTCCAAAGTATTAATTGTGGCTCCATGAACTTTCTGAAATAATATATTTAGCCCACTTGATATATTTGGAGAAAAAGGTAATGTATGGTTCTGTTCAATGCCCAAAGTGGGCAGGAGATCCAGCACTTTTTTCTAGGACAACTGAACACCATTATCTCTGAATTTTTAAAAAATAAAAATATATGTATATATTGTAATATTTTGAAATAAATATTGTTTCCTTTGAGGAAAGAAAAAGGATGAATGAGAAGGTGGCATTCCTACCATGTCCACCAATGTCAAACTCACCCTCTTCCTCAGATCAGGATTCATTTGCAATTTAAATAATAGAGATAAGCTCTCTCTGGAACCCTGACTGTGCCTAAGATTTTCTCCAGGTCTCCCTCCCCCCCCCCGCCCCCCAGTCTTCTCACTTCTCTTATCTCCTGATGGAGTTAAAACGTCTCACCTGCCACCAACAGACTACAGAACTATTCAGCAGTTATTTTCAGGGTTTCATCTCCTGCTAACAGGGTGGGTGAATAGTAGTATTTGGGGGGCAGGGGGGAAATCAAACAAGAATTATGTAATAGAACAGAAAAGAAAAGAAAAAAAGTTAAGGATAAGGGTAAACTGCAGAACAAATCTTTTTAAATCATGCAGTTGTAATATACCCACATCACCCTCAAGTTCTGTTCTCAGCAACAAACTGAACTACAGTTGTATGATATATACAGGCCCGTCGATGGGGGGGAGGGGAGGAAGGGCACAAGGGGGCAACTGCCCAGGGGCCTCGGTGATTTAAAAGGGCCAGTATATATCATATATACTAAGGGCCACTGCAGGGCGCTTAGGCGTGCGAGAATGCTCCGGGCCCCGCAGGCCGGTGTCGGTGGTCCTGGAAGTGACGTATTTGTCACTTCCGCCTTGGGCCCCCCCCCGAAGGACGGCCCTGGGGGCCAGAATTTCTGTTGGCGGGCCTGGAGATATATCACTTTTTTCTTCCTTCTTAGGATAATAAAGTGTGAAACTAAAATCTCAGGCTTACATATTGTAGTTCAGGTACAACAATGATTATTTCAGCATAACTTGGAAAGATTTTTTTCTTAGTAGATACACTTTCACTTGTAGGGGGACCAGATCACTGAAAGGAAATATCGGGACGCACGGGGGGGAGCAAAAAAAAAAAAGCTGTTTTGCAGGTGCTGGGGGAATTAGCAGGCGGGGAAGGAGCCACTGGAGCGAGAGGCGCGGGGCTCCGGACCCCAGCAGCGGTGGGGGAGAGCGGCTCAGGGCTGCGTGAGTGGGCTCCTCGGCCTGCCCCGTAGGGGGGTAGCGTCCCCGCCCCGCACCAGCATGTTTCGCCGGCCGCCGCAGGCCAGTTAAGGAGCCGAGTTCTCCCTCCCCCCTCGTCCTGGCTCCTCAGCTGAGCGGCATTCCTCCTCCCTCCAGGCTTGCAGCTGGAATGCCGGCACAAGCCTGGAGGGAGGGGTTTGGTGGCCGGCTTCCAGTTCCTGGAGCTGGTGAGTAGGGGCACCGGGGGGGGCAGGCAAGGGGGCTGCTCCCCCCAGGAGGACGACGGGGGGGGGGGGGCGTCAGCTGAGGAGCCAGAACGAGGGGGGAGGGGCCGACTCGGCTCCTTACCTGGCCTGCGGCGGCTGGTGCAACATGCTGGCGCGGGGTGGGGACGCTACTCCCCTACAGGGGCAAGGAGCCGGCTGGGGCCCCCCCCCAAGCCAATAAACTTTACATGGCCACTTGTGCGGCCCCGAGCCGCTCTCCCCCGCCGCTGCCGGGGTCTGGAGCCCCGCTGTCGCCCTCCTGGGGGAGCAGACCCCTTGCCAGCCCCCCTTGCCCGCCCGGTGCCCGTACTCACCAGCTCCAGGAACTGGAAGCCGGCCACCACCCCCTCCCTCCAGGCTTGCCCCGCCATTACAGCAGCAAGCCTGGGAGGGAGGAGGAATGCCACATGCTTGGGGAAGAGGCAGGGCCAGGGCGGGGATTTGGGGAGGGAGCCAATGGGGGATGGAGGGAGTGGAGTCGGGGGGGGGGGCCAAGAGCCCTTCCGGGAGGGCAAAATTTCTTGTTTGTCCAGTGTCCCGACCACACATTGGTCAGGACGCGGGACAAACAAGCAAATATCGGAACAGTCCCGATAAAATCGGGATGGCTGGTCACCCCATTCACTTGTAACCCAAAGCTGTGTAAATGAAGCTTTTGTTATAAAATCTTGGTGAGGGAAGGGGAGGAATGCCACTGCCCCATTCTACCTCAGAAGACAGCTCAAAATAAGACACAAAAGTATTATTATTATTGTTGTTTATATGTATTACAGTAGCACCCAGACCAGACACCCCAATCAGGGATGGGTAAACATTATTCTGGGCACTACACAAACATGAAGTTTCTATCCCAACAAGCTTAAAGTCTAAATAAGATGGGAAGCACAGCCTGTGGGATATAGGAGGCAGAGGACTGATCTGACTTGACTCTTCTTAGAGGTTGTCAACCTGATTTCAGGTTGTGTTGAAGAAAGTTTCATATAACTTTGGGTCCCAAGTGAGAATTATTTGATTTTCTCCATCACAAAAAAAAAGGGGGGCTTTGATGTAGTCTTTAATTTTGTTCCCACAATCAACTGTAGTGCAAATAAGTGTTTAGATCCCTAAAGTACCCCATTTGTGTATGTATTTAGACTTTCAAAAGCTAACATTTGCACCTTCAATTAATTTACACCAGCTATCAATTGTGGGCAGAAAGTTAGAAACCTCTCTTTATTCTATTGAATTAGAAGTTGGGGTATGGTACCTTTAATATTTCCTTTTGATGTACTGGCCGATTATTTACATAGATGAAACTCCTTTCTGAACTTGAAAGACTTGTCAAAGAATTGTCTGATTCAGGTTTTGGAAGAAATCCAGAGAGAAATACCTATAATTGTAAAACAAGTACAATGATCAATAAGAGAAGTCTCCCCACACATTTTATTTGTAAAGAAACAGATAACTCAGATTAATTAGCTCAAGATTCAAACGATCCAAACGTGCATTGCCTTTCAAAATTATCAGAGAAATCAATAAAAGAATTCTTTAAAAAGAGCTGAAATAGTTTATGTTTTGCCTCTATTCCTGTTGAATTTATTGAGAAATCCTAGGCCCAGATCCTGTGCTACACCAGAGCGCTACTCAGTGCAGCAGAGGGGGTGCTGACTGGGGCCTACAGAAGTGTCTTTAGGCCATCTTTGCTCTCTCCCTTTCTAATCCTTGGAGCAGTCTCAAGGGCTATTCTGCAACAAGGAACTGTCGGAGCATGATGCCACCTTTGTGTTAGTCTGATACCTATGGTTGCCAGTTTGACCCCTGTACATTTTAGAGGCATCATTTCAATGACTGTTCCATAGGCAGGAATTGCTCTAAACACACCCTCTCCTGCTCTTGTCCACCCTCTACACTGGAGGAAACCAGGTTAGCGTAACATAAAGCAGGCTGCGTCAGTTCTCTGCTGGCCAGGGATTCCCCCACATTAGGACACCTCTGAAGTGGTTTTGTGTGGCCAGCAGTGCAAAGCAGCTTTAACAGAGGCCAGCATCTAGTCCCCCAGGTCAGTCTTACAAACTTATGAATATTCAATTCACTTTGCTGCATAGTTTTAAAGTGATGTCAAATTTACGAAGTTTAAACAAGAAATCCTTGAGGCATTCTGATGCCTGTCTGAGGCATACGGATGTGTTCTTTTATGTGTTCTAGTCTCATTTTAAGATGCCAGCACATTCCTTGTGTTCTGCCTGGTAAAGCTAATGTTTGATAAAACACAGAACTCAGAGGATTGACAAATGATTAGTAATGGAATATGGGGTCCTTCACCCTTATCATCTCTAAGTCATCAGTTCAAATTCAAGACAGACTCAACACACATTAATGTTGCTACCATGATACCTATACAGTAGCCTGTGTGAAACTGGTCTCCAGTCCAGTTCCAAATAGACATCATCCACATTGCAAAATCTTCTACAACAACTGGCATGCTAGTTGGCAGGTTCAGCAGAGAAGCCAGGGAATGAATGGACATGGGGATTAAGCCACTAACTCACTTCCTTGGGTTAGGGCTGAGGCACACTTGCAGGCAGACTGGGGAAACTTGATCTGCAATTGCCTCTCCTGTACCTTTTCTACCTGTAATGTGGGTGAAATAGTGTTAGGTACCTAAAATCAAAGTGGCCTGATTTCAAAGATGGTGAGCACCCATGACTCTCACTGACTTCAATAAGAGCTTTGTCAGGATACTGATATTGAACCAAAGCCCATTGGTTCCCTAGAGAGCACACCTAACCTCTGTGCCATGGGGGGGGGGGGGTGCTGAACCATCACCCCTGGTCAACACTAGTCACTGTCAGGATGCCAGTATTGAACTCAGACCCATCACACCCTTAGGCAACATCCCTAGAAGCTACACCACAACAGTGCACTATATTGCTGGCTCTGGTCCGCCTTTAGCCCACTTCAGCCACTGGCATTACAAGCTGTGAGTGCTCAGCACTTTTGAAAATCAGGCCAGTTTGATTTAGGTGCCTAACTTTTGGAACCAAGACTGAAAATTTTGTCACAGCCTTTTTATTTACTTAAATCAAAGCTAATAAACATATGAAACAGAACAGATAATCCTTTGGCTTCAGTGTAACCCTTCGTGATTCCTGGTTAGCTACTTCACTTCAGCAAGCTATTCATTCCCCTAGCCCTGCAATGAACATTCTGTGCCACAGCTGGAGTGTTCTGGTCAGCAACGGTTATACACATAACTAAATGCCATTGGCCAAGTTAAAGAGGTGTCAACTGTCTGTTGGACCATTATCAGGAAAAACAACTAGCTGCTCTCTTACATTTTATTCTGCAACTCTATCATAGACAATCTAAATGTCACTCTGTTTTACATTTCAGCTTCTTTTTAAAATTTTAAATACTAGACACAAGTTAAGTCACTTCAAACAATAAAACTTTGCTAAACAAATGGACAACATTAAAACACAACTGGAAGGCTCTAAAATCAGGCAGTTAAGAAGTTGCCATATTCAGACTTAGTTGACTGTTACTAACTGTTTAAAACTATTTGGGAAGTCAGCATGCACTGTAACAGAGTTAATGAGTGAAGATTTCTAAAACTGGATTGCACTGGTAAAATTGTTATCTATTAAATAATCACACTTATAATACAAAGTTTTAGAAAAAATAGATAAGCAAGGAATCTTGATTTTAAGTTAAACCAGTTGTTTAAAAGTATCAGAGGGGTAGCCGTGTTAGTCTGGATCTGTAAGGGCAGCGATGAGTCCTGTGGCACCTTATAGACTAACAGACGTATTGGAGCATGAGCTTTCGTGGGTGAATACATGCATCCAACGAAGTGGGTATTCACCCACGAAAGTTCATGCTCCAATACGTCTGTTAGTCTAGAAGGTGCCACAGGACTCTCTGCTGCTTTTACAGTTGTTTAAAGTGACTTATGATTATTATAGGTGGGGTTTGTAGCCCCACTTCCCATTATATGACCCTTTTTTCAAGTTGCTTACAACTTTGCAAAACTTTAGCTGTTTGGGTTGAAATTTTCCATGCGTTGTATCTGACTTTTTGGGGAACATTTCACCTAAAATGGTTCAGCTCATTCAGAGATGAGAGGTAGGGAAAAACATATTTTTAAAAAATTATGGTGATCTCTTTCTTTAAGAAGCTCTAGCAACCCCATGCTTTGTGACTTTAAATTTGATGGGCGGAGTGGGTCTTTGTGTCAGGGATGTGCCTTTTGCAACCTCCATGAAAATTCACCCAAATTTGGTCAAGTTAGAAGACTTTGGGGAAAAAAATCAGTTTGGACATGCTCAGGAGAGACTTGCTAGATCACAGCTTAATTCCCCAAAGATTCTGTCCACACTGGGCATCCTCCAGGTAAGGGCTGAGGAGGACTTTCCTTGCAACTGCAGTTCCCAACTGTTCTGGGTCATGCTGGGTCCAGATCCAGATCCAGTACCTGGACTGAGAGCAGGGAGCCTGCCTCTCCTGTGCTCTTAATAGCCTGCTGACATCCAGGCAGCCATTGAAGTGGAAGGTGCCCGATGCAAAGACAGAGGGTACAAGAGCTGGACCTGGTGGGGGAGGGAACACAGTAGAATGGGGCAAGGAGCCTGGTGACAGGAGACTGAGGCTGGTGGGAGAAAGGGAAACTGGGAGTTGATGGGGAAGACTGGGAACTAGATGGGGAGGAGGTGATGGGGATAAGGAGAATGAGAACACAAGAAGCCATGTTGCAGAAGAAGAACTGGAGCAGGCTGGCAGAGATTGGAACAAAGAGCTTGGTGGAATATTGAGACTGAACAAGAGGCCCAGTGAGGGAGAGTGGGACTGGGAGCCAGTGGGGAAATGTGAGCATGGGGATGCCTGGATTCGGGGTGGGCAGCACAGATCAGATGAGGAAATGGGAGAGGGGAACTAGGAATGGCTGGGTAAAGAGACTAGGACTGTTAGGCTGATTGGTCTATAATTTCCTGGGTCCTCTTTGTTTCCCTTTTTAAAGATAGGTACTATGTTTGCCCTTCTCCAGTCTCAAGGACTTCATCCATCCTCCACGAGTTCTTAAAGATAATTGCTAGCAGTTCCAAGATTGCTTCAGCCATTCCTTAAGTACTCTAGAATGAATGTCATCAGGCCCTGCCAACTTGAATACATCTAACTTATCTAAATATCCTTTAACCCGTTCTTTCCCTATCTTGACTTGCATTCCTTCATGGAGAATTTGTTTTTTCATTTTGCTTTTTAAACAATCTAGGAAATTATACCCCCACATCCACACAGTTAAAAGAATGTTAAGTTTGCAAAATGAAGCACTCAAAAGATAGGAAATGCCAGAATTAAGGTTGTCTGTGCAACCTTAATTCTGCCGTGTGTGTGTGTGTGTGTGTGTGTGTGTATTATGGTACAGTCTTCAATTACATGATCAAATTATATTTTTCCAAAAAGATGTTTGCCTCATTCAGTGCTCAGGTCAGCTGAATCAGGATGGGGATGAATCAGAGTTGTATAATAAAGGAGCCTTGTCTGTGGGATTCTGCTTCATTTGTTGCAAAAGTTGGGAGGTGTGTACTGAATGAGGCAGGTAACTGCAGGAAGAGAAAGGACAGTCTCAGAGATAAGGCAGCTGAATTCTGCCCAGCAGAACTAAATTCTATCCCTGCCTCTGCTACAGAGTCCCTGTGTGATGTTAGGCAAGTCACTTAAACCAAACTAATCAAAGGTGGTCGCTAATTGTGTGTTCCTCATTTTCTGGATGCCTGAATTAAGACCCTGGGGGATATGATCTGTAGAAGTTCTGAGCAGTCATGGAAGACGGGAAACATTCCAGAAGACTGGAAAAGGACAAATATAGTGCCCATCTATAAAAAGGGAAATAAAGACAACCCAGGGAATTACAGACCAGTCAAGTTAACTTCTGTATCTGGAAAGATAATGGAGCAAATAATTAAGCAATCAATTTGCAAACACCTAGAAGATAATAAGGTGATAAATAACAGTCAGCATGGATTTGTCATCATGTCAAACCAACCTGATAGCTTTCTTTGACAGGGTAACAAGCCTTGTGGATGGGGAGAAGCAGTAGATGTGGTATATCTTGACTTTAGTAAGACTTTGATAATGTCTCGCATGATCTTCTCATAAACAAACTAGGGAAATACAACCTAGATGGAGCTACTATAAGGTGAGTGCATAACGGGTTGGAAAATCGTTCCCAGAGAGTAATCATCAGTGGTTCACAGTCATGCTGGAAGGGCATAACGAGTGGAGTCCCGCAGGGATCGGTTCTGGGTCCGGTTCTGTTCAATATCTTTATCAATGATTTAGATAATGGCATAGAGTACACTTATAAAGTCTGCGGACGATACCAAGTTGGGAGGGGTTGCAAGTGCTTTGGAAGATAGGATTAAAATTCAAAATGATCTGGACAAACTGGAGAAATGGTCTGAAGTAAATAGGATGAAATTCAATAAGGACAAATGCAAAGTACTCCACTTAGGAAGGAACAATCAGTTGTACACATACAAAATGGGAAATGACTGCCTAGGAAGGAGTACTGCGGAAAGGGATCTGGGGGTCATAGTGGATCACAAGCTAAATATGAGTCAACAGTGTAATGCTGTTACAAAAAAAGCAAACATCACTCTGGGATGTATTAGCAGGAGTATTGTAAGCAAGACATGAGAAGTAATTCTTCTGCTCTACTCTGCACTGATTAGGCCTCAACTGTAGTATTCTTCCAGTTGTGGCGCCACATTTCAGGAAAGATGTGGACAAATTTAAGAAAGTCCAGAGAAGAGCAACAAAAATGATTGAAGGTCTAGAAAACATGAGCTATGAGGGAAGACTGAAAAAACTGGGTTTGTTTAGTCTAGAGAAAAGAAGACTGAGGGAGGACATGATAACAGTTTTCAAGTACATAAAAGGTTGTTACAAGGAGGAGGGAGAAAAAATTTTCTTCTTAACCTCTGAGGATAGGACAAGAAGCAATTGGCTTAAATTGCAGCAAGAGCGGTTTAGATTGGACATTAGGAAAAACTTCCTGTCAGAGTGGTTAAGCACAGGAATAAATTGCCTAGGGAGGTGGTGGAATCTCCATCATTGGGGATTTTTAAGTGCAGTTGGACAAACACCTGTCAAGGATGGTCTAGATGAGGGGTCTCAAACACGCGGCCCGCGGGGTGATTTTCTGTGGCCCGCGAGCCCCTCGCAACCCCCCTGTCCTCCCCCAGTGTTTACCAGAGCGGCGGCCGGACGTGCACCGGGAGCAGGGCAGGCTCCCTGCCTGCCCTGCGCCGCTCCAGGAAGAGGCTGGAACGTGGGGAAGGGGGGGCAGAGGGGCTGTGTGTTTCTGTTGCTTGAGGCAGTGCCCCCAGCAGCTCCAATTGGCTGGGAACGGGGATCCGCAGCCAATGGTAGCTGCTGGAGGCGATGCCTCAAGCAACAGAAACACAGCCTCTCCCCCACCTTCCCCACGTTCCAGCCTCTTGCAGGGGTAGGGCAGACAGGCAGGGAGCCTGCCCTGCCCCTGGTACGCGCCGGGCCAGATCCTGCCCCCCAAACCCCTCCTGCAGCCGAACCCCCTGCCCTGAGCCCCCGCCGCACCCTGCACCCCAACCCCCTGCCATACCCTGCACCCCGACCCCCTGCCTCACCCCTCACCCTTCCTGCATCCCAACCCACTGCCTGAGCCCCATGCTGCACCCCTCCTGCGCCCCAACCCCCTGCCGTACCCTGAACCCCTCCTGCACTCCGACCCCCTGCCCTGAGCCCCCTGCTGCACCCTGCACCCCGACCCCTGCCCTGAACCCCCTGCCTCACCCCGCATGCCTCCTGCACCCTGACCCCCTGCCCTGAGCACCCCGACCCCATCCTGAACCCCCTGCCACACCCCGCACTCCTCTTGCACCCAACCACTGCCCTGATCCCCTGCCACACCCTGCA